AAAAAGAATGAGCCATTCCTTACAGTTAACTTCATATTTCTTATTGTCTAAAGCATTTATTACACACATGTTCCCCTCTCATATTCACAGTGTGGATCAACTGAGACAGCGTGGTGTCCAGAGAGCTGCAGAGACTTTGGGAGAAACCTCAGCGTGACGGATGTCCTGTCTGTGGGTTTGGCTGGAGAGGACTGAGGTAGAGCGGTCTTTCTCTGGGAGGAGGACCAGGCCTGATGGAGGAGGAGCAGGCCTGATGGAGGAGGACCAGGCCTGATGGAGGAGGACCAGGCCTGATGGAGGAGGACCAGGCCTGATGGAGGAGGACCAGGCCTGATGAAGAAACCACCAAACTGCATCTGTGAGCCTATACTGGGCACAGCTGTCACAAACAAATGATGGTCCTGTTTGACTACACACTATTCAGTGTGCAGATCTTTCTGTTCACAATAAAAGTGTAGTTTCTTAGTGAATGTCTTGTATTGGTCTTTAATCTCATATCAGCTTTTCATTTTCTTCTGGTCCCTCGGAGAAAACGGTGAGGCAGTTGTGTCCTTCAGGTATGTCCTTTCCTAACAGAAATGACAAGAAACATCAAACATATGACATTATTGTAGAGCAAGTGTGTTATTTATGAAAGGGGTTTGTTTATTAAGCGGCTGTAGAAATAATATATATATGTATTTGAATGTGTTTTTTAAATTCATCACTTTGTACTACAAAGATAATCAGATTATGAATTAACAGTCTGCAGTTAATCAACATTAAAATATATGTTATTATTAAATAATATTCAACTGTTATCAGAACTTAGTGTAAATGTAGTGTCATGCTGTTCGGTTGTCTCACTGCAAGAACCACTTTTACCACGTCTTTTACAGACAATATGTAGAGACAAATGGTAGTAATTCTCACAATGTAAAATAAGAATTGCCTTAAATTACACACATTGAAATGTGAAAGCTGATTATAGTTGTTACTTTATCTATTTAAACCAGAACGTTTCTCGATTCTTTGTACAGTATGAAAGGAGTCTTTGTACCTTTGAGTCCATGCTGAAGTTCAATGATGTTAGGAATAGGTCTGTCTCTCGTGATCAGCATCCTCTGGTCTGTCTGCATCACCTGGAAACTTTAAACAAACAGATATATATATGTAAAGTAACAATGTGTTGGTCACAGACTTTTTTTTACATGCAAAATGTCATGTGATAATCGTTTGGTTATCCTTAAAAAAAGTGCTGGATATCACAGCCCTTACTGTATCGTATCAGTTGGATTGTGTATTATTGTCTAGTTGGGGTCCTTTTTATTTTACTGTTATTTTGGAATCGTTTTTCATGAGACAGTCAATTTAAATATATGTCCTATGCCATATTCACATTCATTTGTAACACACACGTAAGGGTAAAAGACACACATCTTTAACAAATGTAATGCAATGAATAAGCTTAATTGTCACGGAAGCACACATAACGTCATATCTAATATTTAAACAAATCATGTCCTTGTCCCTAAAGCATTGACTGAGCTATTTTTCGTCCTTAAATGCAGGCATTAAGTTACATGTTCACGTTCTGCTGGCACAATAAGTCGGTTTCTCCAGTGTAATGATAATAAAATGCTTAGTAAGTATTGGTAATAATGTTAATAAAAACAACAACGTTTGGGTTCGTTCGTTTAATATGATGAACGTTAACCAGTAAGCTTCAATAATCAACTCCAGCTCAACAAACCATATTGCAATATCTACGTTAACGTTATTTCTGGAACCAACTGGAAATGTGAGATTCATATTTTTAAGATACACAGATCTTATAGTGAGGTTAATCTCATACAGTACTCTGCTCTTCAACACTAATGTGACGCTCGCTGTCTGCATCGTCGAGCATAGCTATTTTAAATTAACAATAACAATTCATACAGTTACCTAACTAGCAAACTAACTAATGTACAAGCATGACCTTATTTTACCAACCTCACCGAGAAGCCTTTTGTTCTACAGTAAAATCCTTCTTAATGTTTTACACTTCTTTATTATGTTTTAACTTGTATGCTACGGATAGCATCGTTAGCACATATGTAGCTTCGTCTCGCTCGTTAGCTGAATAAAAAGACAAGTAAGAAATAAAGTGCTTGAATTTCACTTACCGAATAAACTGCATTCATGGACGGTCTGTTTGAACCGCAGAGCCATAAGATAAGTGCGATATTTCAATGAAGACACCAGGCATCAACACAACAAACACGTCCGAGTAGCAGCCTGGAGCTAATGAAGCTAACAGGGCTAACGGGGCTAGCAAAGAGACCACTAGCAGTTTGGTACATCCGTTTCATTACAATGACTTCCGTTTCATTACAATGACTTCCGTTACAGCAATAATCCCCCTCACACACACATAGGTGAAACACATGCACATTCCCTACTGAGAACCTTTCAGTAAAATGTTTTTCAGGAGTGTGTGTGTGTGAGGTTTTCAGTAGTGTGTGTGTGAGGTTAATTTTCAGTAGTGTGTGTGTGAGGTTCATTTTCAGTTGTGTGTGTGTGAGGTTAATTTTCAGTTGTGTGTGTGTGAGGTTAATTTTCAGTAGTGTGTGTGTGAGGTTAATTTTCAGTAGTGTGTGTGTGAGGTGTTCAGTAGTGAATGTGAGAGGATTTCAGTAGTGTGTGTGTAAGGCCCAATGTTTTCAGTAGTGTGTGTGCAAGGTGAGTTTGAATTTTGGCCTACATATGAGTGAGATCACCTGCTGACTGCAGCTGTCCCCTCCACAGGACACGTGTCCTAAAGCTGTCCAACCGTCTGCAGGCTGCAGGCTCACTTATAAGAAGTGGCTATTAGTAATGAATGTGTAATGGCGCGTTTCCACTACAGCGCGGAGCACGGTTTAAGAGGGCTGTGACGTCAGCGGCCCGTTTTTGGTTGCGTTTCCACTTGGCCTAGTACCGGCCGGCGGGTCCTAATTCACAGTTTTTCTGGCCTCATAAAATCGTGGTTCTAGGGCCAGAGACAACGAGGCTGAGTCGGGCTGAGTATGCTAAACTAGAGAGAGAATCGCTTACAAGGGGGCTTCCCCGGGCGCCGTACATAATGGCAGCCCACTGCTCCTACCACTAGGATGGGTCAAATGCAGAGAAACCGTTTCGTTACATAGCACCTGTACTACGTAATGACAATAAGTTGAATCTTCTTCTTCTTCAATCTTCAACTACAACAAGATGGACATATTTGACCGTGATTTAATTGTAATACACGTTTCAAAATGATGCCGAAGTAACAACATACTGATACCGGTTAGTAAAAACCATGAATTAATGCTTTGTCAAGTCTGCAGACAGACGGCAGGCGAAAAACCTTTTAAAATGCGTGTTTTCTAAATGGAGATTGGCTAAGCTAACGCAGTATATGCTCCGACCGTCCACACTCACAACAACGGCCCATACAGACATAAATAAACCAGCGATTGTATTCGCCATGACACAGACAGTCTGTGGTTTGTACTTGTTTAACTTTTGTCTAGTTTCTGAACATATATGAGGAGCTGTGAGCTCTGAGTGCTAACAGCTAACGGCTGTGTTGTTTTTCTGGGGTTCTCATTGAAGATGACGTCACGGCTCCGCCTACACTGCGTTACTATAGATACTACCCCAGTTCCTAAACTGTAATGGAAATGCGCCATAAAGTGAGCCAGTCCTAACGAGGCCTAGCCATACCGAGCGAGGCCGTGTAGTGGAAACGCGCCATTAGAGAAGGGGTGCCTAAACCACGGCCCGAGGGCCAACTGCGGCCCATTGACCATTTAGAAATGGCCCTCTAAAAGAATGATGGAACATTGCCCACACCTGAAACTTGTGCTTGTCTTATGTTGTACTTCGTAAATATATATTTAAACATATATGACACAGTATTCATGTGTTGATAAGCGTAGTTTTTTTTTATATATTCAGTCAATCTTAGTTGATAAAAATAGCCCAATAACTTACATAACAAGCTTGAAATCTACCCTTCATATTTCACATTATTATAAGCAATCTGAGGCTTCTTTTTAAGGGATGAGCTGCAACAATTTGTGTAACAAAATAAGTGAAACCCTTTGGAAAGCTGTGATGAAGGCTGTTTCTTTTTCTTTTCATAAAGCATATTCAAGTATCAAGAATAATGTACCTTCATTTGATTGATTTTGCTAAATGATAACTTAATTTATGAGGCAGTATACCTCACCTCTAGAGAGGGGCCCAGCCCTTCGTATGTTTTCCTGTGTGTTATACCCCTTTCACACCAAGGCTTTTCCCGTTCTAGCTCCGTGCTAGAGCTTTTCTGGTTCAGAACCGGTTCTTCGGTTCAGCTCCCGCTCTGTTCACACCGCTCAGAGCCCGACTGGTGCTGCGTCATCGTTTGCGTCATAAAGCCAAACCGCGAAGAAACCCCTCACATCGACAACAACAACAATGGCAGATTGTATTGAAGCGCTACTCGTTTCGGTTTTGCTCTGTCGAAACGAAATGGAACAAATGGGACGACTTTACTACCAACTTTACAGTCGTGAAATGCTACATTCAAGACTTCTTTACAATCATCATCATCAACGACGATTCGGTAGGAGAAAGAAGGTAAATATACGTCCTATTCGATGGCGTTAGAGCTAGCTGTTGTTAGCCTCTGCATGCGCCAAGCTCAAAATACCCAGCTTTGCAGCATTAATTACTATGGTATAACATTAAAACTGATGCCCCTTCCCCTGCCTCCGACGTAAGCGTGACGTATGCGGTGCTTGCTTTCTAGACCGACAACTTTTTGGTGCTTGAAACGAACCGGATTCCGGAGCTTAGAGGCGGCTCCGCTGCGGTGTGAACAGGAAAAACCGGTGCTTTTCAAGCTCCAGCTCCGAACCGGCCCTAGAACCACGTTGGTGTGAAAGGGGTATTAGAATGTTTATCTCTGCAGGTTGGGTGAGTGAGGGGCATTGTTGTCAGTGGTCATGTCTCTTCTGTGTGGACAGTGTTACCTCTCAGTGCATCTCCATTGGACACATCACAGGGAATGAAGTGGCAGTGTCCCTCTCCGAACTCGGCGTCCAGCAGTGCCTTGCTCTCCTCTCCACACGTCTTGTTCAGGTCCACCACAGCCACCTGCAGGACCACTGTTAGTCACATGGAGTTTCTTTGAATTCACAGACGCGGACTAACAGCAGAGGTTGAGGAAGTAAGACTCAATATTTAAATCCATCTTTGCAGAAGCTTGATGAAGGATACCACACAGTGGACGGCTCACTTCTGCAAACTCTGCTGAGTGAGGTCTGTGGTTAGACACGTGTGAGCCTAGAGGACATGAAGACATGTTCACCAGCCGGCAGGGTGTGAAGAACGTTCTCAGAAACAGATCAACTTCTTTCAAAAGCCTTTTTGCAATGCAGAGTGTTACTTTCACTTCCAGCCACAATGCCACTTGCTCATCTCCAACACAATTTAATGCAGTGTATAATGTATATATAACCTAATATACTATTATTTTAGACTCATCATCTCAGGCAAGTTAACACTGGCTCTGTTTCAACATGCTGACCTTTGAAAGCAGGACTACAGTTTATTCAAAATGAAACATTACTAGAAAAAGTTAAGTAAAGCATGAAAGACAAAATGTTTCCAAAAGGTTACAAAGAGGTGAACATCTCATTAAAGCAGACCTAAAGCTGTCTGAGTGTGACTGTCAGAGCTGCAAATGCACAGAGCATATGGCATAGCTAACTTAAGCTAAAACGAAAAACATGTTATTTGAGAAGTTCAGTTCCTTTCTAAGGTGACAGAGTAGCTGTGTGTTAGTCAGGGAAGTGGCGACACACACTGACCTTGGCTGAGCTCTGCAGCAGGGACTGAACCACGGCTCTCCCGATGCCCTGAGCTCCCCCGGTCACCAGAGCCACCTTCCCTCTCAGAGGCATGATCCAGCAGACCCTCACTTTTCGTCTTTCTCCCTCTGTCTCTCACTCGCCTCCCCCTCTGTTCTCTCTCTGCTATATGTTCTTCTCTGTTTTTGCTTCTCTTCTTCTGTCCTTCTCAGTGTGTGCATGCAGAGGCTTTCTCACCCTTGTGTGTGTTTTCTCTCCCTTGAGCTGGGCTGTTACCCCTCCCTCCCTCCTCCCCACCCCCCCTCTCAGCTTATCAGTCTATACAAACAGTGCTCTGTGTGTGAGGGAGAGCGAGAGAGGCTATGTAAACTCTGTGGGATAATAATGACAGCTTCCTGTAGCTTGTTGTACCTGTCCTCCTGCAGCTTGTTGTACCTGTCCTCCTGCAGCTTGTTGTACCTGTCCTCCTGCAGCTTGTTGTACCTGTCCTCCTGCAGCTTGTTGTACCTGTCCTCCTGTAGCTCCTCCTGCTTGATAAAGCCCCCCCCCCTCCTGCCTCTCCTGTTTCACCTGAGCTCCACACGCCACTGTTAGTACAAGAATATGTTTGTTGACATAATAAAGAGAACCTGGAAAACAGCTGTAAACCTCACATTCTCCTCTTCCCCCCCTCCATGTTGTCTTTGTGTGAGGTATTTGTGTAATTGCTGTTACACAATATGCAACACTGTTCAGTCATACATTACACAAGGTTCAGGTCTCTGCATGTTCACTCTGATGCTGTGCTGGAACTCATGGGAACCAAACGGTGCTGAAAAGACAGAAGTGTAATGGCAGCGCTTTGGAGCAAAGACTTCCAGCCAAGATGTCTTCTTTGTGGATTTCTAAAAAACACCAAGCTTTTGTTTATACAAAAACAACACTATTTATCATTTGCAAAAATCAGATTCAGGAACATCCTAACACATCCCTCCTCCTTCCTTCACACCCTTCCTTCCCTCCTCCTTCTTATCTTACATCCTTCCTGCTTTTTGTGCAGGATTCTGGAGGTGCACCCCCTTCAGCTCTCTGGGAGCTCAGGACCTGCAGTGCCCCCCCCCCCCCAGCACAGGCTCCTCCTGTACATCCTGCTGGGGGGGGGGGGGGGGGGGGGGGGGGGGTTCCACCTGCCTTCCGTCCGTCATCAACTGGTCCCGACGACCATATGAAGGTATGAGGGCTTCAACTAGTCGTTGGAAACCAGACTACCGACCTCTGCTTCGAAATCACAAGGCAACAATTTACAAAAATAAAGTGATGTTTTATACATTTATAGCAATACAGGTCAAATTCAGACACATACTGTAATACATGGATCACCAAGCCTCTTCTTTTCATCTTTTCTTGCAGCATTTCTGGATTGTTAACTCACACTAGTCTCATACTAATCCTAACCTCCTCTTTTTAATGCGTTAGAAAATAGAAATTGATGTGAGAGCAAATTCAAAAGTGAGTCTTTGTTAGCTTGAGTGTAAACGTATTCATATTCGATAAAGAGCAGGTGAGCACAAACATTACCGTACACACTGATCATCTGCATATACCATAAGTACAAAGCTAGTTAGCCAGACATGCTAACTAACTGCAGCTGATTTGATCTCTATCGACAGGCATTGGGACAGATTTTGTTATGGAAAGGTTCTAGGTTCCGTCGTAGTCCGTGTGGTATTGACCTATGTCGTTGGAGCGGACTTTGGTTGAATGCAGGTCTGTGTAGAGAGCAAAGGGGCGGGACAGATAACAGCATTCAGGATTTCTGCATCCACTATTCATTTATACCTCAATAACACTGAGGTATCTAACAGTTTCTTACTGGTTGACTTGGCCAATCACAGTTCAGTTAATGTGGATGCCAATCACATTGCAGGGATGGCCCCCAAGGTGTGAGAAGGTCATTTCTGCAGCTGCTGCTAGACCAACCTTTTAACAATTAGGCATTGTGTCAAGCCATTGTGCAAGTACAAATATTCCATTGAAATTGATCATTTAAAGGAAAAAGCATAACATATAGTTTGAGAAATGTCCTGCTGGACCCGCTGTCCCACTCCGCCACGAGACAACTTATATATGCAAAGTATAAACAGTGAGGTATGCAGACAGAAAGGACACATACAGTTCACTTTAAGAAGTGGCTACCAAGTTTATTTTAATCAAAATACAATAGAATTAATTTAGAACTATGTCAAATATGCAAATCTTATTTTACAAAAAGTAGCATGTGTGCTCTTAACTCTGTACTCTTGGTTGCCTGTTTTCCACAATTAAACCCAGAAGCATAACAGCATAACAAGCATACAGTATATCATTACTTATTGGTTGTGTTGTGTTTAAAAACGTTTAATTCTGACAGAAACTTCCAACAACGAAAGACATTTTGTTAAAAATCAGTTTGATGAAATCCACCTCTGACTTGAAACGAGAAAGTCCTGACAGCCTGAGCACATCATTACACTAAATACTCTCCACACACTTTCACCACAATACAAGCAGAAACACAACTCATGTTCAATTCAAAAGCCATGTCACAGACTGTGAAATGTTTGACCGTCTCCTGCTTCTCCACACAGTGAGCCCTGTGAGGGAAACTCTGATGGAGATGTGTGGCTCCAGGCAAGCTGCAGCTTCAGCACAACACTTCACTGCCTTTATGAAAACAAGTGTTCCGCTTTTCTGGTTCATCTCTCACCAACATCAGCAAAAACACTAAATCAGACTCACTGTGAGTCCACAACGTTTATGACTGATATAATATTAGTTCAAATTCTAAATGTCTCTCTTTGTAGAACTCAGCTATAATAGAGACTGGCAGCCAATGTCCAAAACCAGCTAGTAGCTGTTAATGTTGTTATTTACCACCAAGCAAAATCAGTGAGCATCACATTTGAAACATAGATGCAAATGATCTGATATATATCAACAAACATAAATCCTTGGTAGATAGCCTGACGACAGAAATGTCTCAATGAAGAAAAACAGCAAGAAGTTGAAATAACGCAAATATTTGTGCATGTGAAATAGTAAATAAGGTAAATCATGCAAAAACACCAGAATGCTCCTTTACACTCTGGTTCTTGTCAGAACATGGGAGGCCCTAGTGCAGCGGCCCTGCACTGAGCAGTCATAGGGCTTCAGGAACTGCAGATCCTGGATCAGGGCACACACATTAATAAGTGACTGTCATTATTTCTGTCACACAGGAGGAGTTCAAATGATTCATACAGGACTATGTTGCATATATTAGCTTACACGTTCTGTATGCTTCACCATCAGCTTTTACACTGCTCAATGTAGGCAGTCAACATGTTCCATTGATTTCCCTAGAGTATGTACATCAACTGTCTCTACAAGAGAAGTTGACCATCTTATCACCATGATCTCATGTGGCAAACCTCAAGCAAGTATCACAACTCTGCAGTCACACTGAACAACACTTTGAACTGAACCACTCAAATACTATATTATGCCATGAGCAAGTTGGCAGGAAAGTTGATGAGGAAGTGGGCTCACTGTACCACCTCATTTGTGTGGAATAGATGTAAAGCAGTAGAAACCCAAAGCACACAGAGAGCTGTGCAGAGCTCCACTTTCTAACACAAACTCGGCTGATGTTAACAGCTGACAGGAATTAAAGTCAGAGCCAAGTTGTTTCCTAGAAACACAATGAAATTCCAAGAAAGAGTGTGTACTCTGAGGTCAACATTTCAGAAAGCAACAATAGTTTGGCAACAGACTCAAATATTGCTTACCAAGTTATTTTCAATCCCACCAATTGCAGACCAATATTGACTTTAAGGGACACTTTACATCCCAAACAACACATGTCCTCCCCATGCTGACATTTCCTGCCCATTACACTTCTTTCTCCGCCGGCACATGGAACGTGTTAAATGAGGTCTGTTTAAAGAAGCACATACTTGTAAACTTGTACATTTTGGGTGTATCTGCTACATGTTCACATTCTTTAGAAACACATTTTTTCTCGTCTGCTTGAACAAACCTGTTTTTACCCCCCCCCCTTTCTGAAATTAGAGCCTGTCTCTTTAAGCCCCCCTCTGGAAACCCCAGTCTGCTCTGATTGGCTTGCAAGACAATATTGCAACGGTAGTATTCAAGCTGGGGGGGAGGGGAATATGAAATAGGAAGTGGAACCACATCTGAACAGCTTGTTGAATCACATGTTTCAGTTAGTGGGTTGACAGGCACTTCATATGTGCAGACGCACTGAGAAGTGAGTTTTTTATCACGTCCTTTGAAATATTTGTTTTTAATCCTGCATTGGCTGACTTGAAAATGAAACAAAGATAAAGTAGATTAGGCTGATCACACACACTGACATAACTAATGTGTTTATCTGCCAACACACACAGCAGGGATTCTGTTTCTCTGAACAGCTAGGAACACTTTGAATGGTTCTGAGGCACCTACAGTCAGAAGGAGCTGTGTGTGATATGAGTGTGAACTGGAAACAGCAGTCACAGTGAGAACAGTCCCTCTCTCTGTCTGATAGCATGAAGACAGTCATGTGCAGTGGGGGCTCTGGTGGTCCCAGCTGTGTGTGAGGGCACTGAGAGGCTGAGGTGAGGCTGAAAGTGGGGGGACACAGGCTGCTGAGCTGTAAGACACAAGTAGGCAAAACAGTGTGAAGCCCATGTGTGTGTGTGTGTGCTGGTGCTGTTCCTTATGTTTCACATTTCTTTGAGCAGTCTTCTCCATCTGCAGTCTGTTCTAGTACATGAAGTAGACTCTTGAGCAGTCTTTCATCATAGCCAATTTGTGTAATACAGTTTCTTCATACTTGTGATCTTCCCATATCTTCAGTTTACTGTGTGTAAAGGAGCACAGTAATAATCCCATGTCCCCTCTCTCAGGGGTCCTTGGTCTCTGGCACAGTGTTGGAGGTCTCAGTCATAATATCAGAATAAAGAAGTGGACATTTGATAAAAACATACACACTAACATGAATTCAGGAAGCATCTTCAGTACAACCACCTTAAAGGGGAAGTGAGCTTTTGTTAAGTGTTGAGCAAAAACACTGAGTGTATAGTGAGTAGCATCAGAAACTAAAGAAAACCTTTATCCTAACAACATGTCTGAACAACTCCTGAATGCAAACCACCAGGTTGAACTCTTTCCTTTTTGGACACTTGTAATTGAAGATGTTTTATAAGGGAAGCTGCCCATAGTTCCATGTGTATTCACTGGTCACATGTATACCCATTGTCTTTGCAATGATTTCTTTGTTTTAAGGCTCCTGCTTAGTAGTGATCAGTTGTATTATGTGGTGTGGGTAGCTTCTGATCACACTTCACACCTCTGTAAGGACACACCCACCCAACAAACACATGATATCTGATACAGGGAACAGATCGGCCAACAAATGCGGATTCCTGTGAGAACTGCCCTACTGACTCAGAAATGTACCTTCATTGAGAATGCCACTAAATGTAAATGTACACTTGAAGAATTGAAGTAACATTTGAATCGATCAGTTGTGCTCACCCTTCTCCACTGTTTGCCATGTTGTGTCCTTTGTTTCACTTTCCTTTGGAAGCAGCAGTAGTCTGTACATAGTGTTGTGACGAGACACACCTCAGAGTGCCTGCTGTAAACGCATCATTTCATCCAGTCACACAGCTGCACTACGTGTCCTTACTATTTCTATAAATACACACGGTTTTACCATCCCATAAACAAGAGGCAAGGCAAAGAGCGGCGCACACTGGGTGCTCAGTAGAAAAACCTCAATCACATCTGCTGAGATATGAGGACAGGTGATAGAGAGCCTCCCCTCTTTACCGATCACATCATTCAACCGTCTCAGCAGTTCTCTTATCTAGTGTTATGCATCTGCTATAAACCAAGGTTTGTTTAAAAATGACCATCTATGTGTGTCATAATGCTGGTTTAAGGCTCTCTTTTTGTATCCCACTCACATTTATTTTTAATTAGTTTTCTTGCCACCTCATAACTTATTCATCAATGCATGAATTCCTCGCCTCTTGCTCATTTTCAAATGATTCCATTCCTCCGCAGATTGATGATGTGGATATGCAGATTGTGGAGAGCACACTGTTGGATACTCAGTATTAGTGACAGCTGGTATAAGTGTTACTGCCTCAGAATCAGGACATTTTAGAGGACGTCCTGAATGGTGGTCAAGGGCAGGGTTAAGGAACAGGGAATTAAAGGTAGTTAACAAAGTGTCCTCATATGCATAGTGGTATAAGGATGTGTGTGTGTGTGTGAGAGCACACATACTGTTTATGTATAATCTTTGCTCTTTCCTTCCTTATCTCTTATGTACATCTTCATGTCGCAGGATCTTATAAAGGACCCAGTAGAATATGTTGAAGAAGAGGAAGGCCAGAGGGAAGCCGGCCCTCGACACTGTGTCAATCTTTTTGGCTCTGTCGATGAATAACTTCCTCATCTCTTCAATGCTTCTGCCCCTTCCACCCGCTCCAGGTGGATTCTGGGTAGGGTTTGCTGTGGCTGCGGGGGTATTCGATGCAGTCACAGTGTTGTTGGCGCTGGCCTTCACGCCTTTGCTGTTGCTTGGAGTGGAGGTCAGTCTGCTCTCATGCACTTCCCCTTCCTGTGGGACGAGGGTTTTCCACATCAGTTATTAATACTCACTTAATATTCCTTACACTGACTGGGGGGCCACAACCCATTGCCTGCAACATGCAAGTGAAACATGCTCAAATACATGCAAACATAGACCCCCCCCACACACACACACGCACACGCACACACACACGCACACGCACACACACCCGCATACACACACACACACACATTACCCTGTGGTTGCTGGTGTAGATGTTGCTCATAGATCCATAGGGGGTGTGTGTTGCTTTGAGGCCGTTGTCAACATTAACACGACGCAGGGAGTCAGCTAGCTCCCCAGGATCAACTGCACTGCTCTACCAGGACAGCATGCACACCAGTGATCAACACACAGAAACACAAAGGAAAAACAAATGGCCTCCAAACACAGGGGCGGGTCACTCCTTCATTCAGTCAACGTATCAGTTGGTGGTTTACACATGTTACTATTCATTCATATAGTGTTTTTCATCAAAAGGCTTCTCTCTACTGGTGTTTTGGTTATATCTCATTCTCTATTTCTTTTCAAACTGTACCTCTTTATACACTGTAATAGTACAAAACTTGTACAAGTTCAAACATATTGTCCATTCTTAAACAGATTGATTAATCTGCAGCTACTCTAATTGCTGTTTGCGTAAGCATGTTGACTGAATGTGGAGTAGATCCTTTCCCAACACAGAGCATGCAGTGACACTTACTGTATCTTTCTGTCAGAGAAACAACACAACTTTGAACCAAAGAGCAGTGACAGCCATGCAGCATCATGCACTAATACGGTAAGAGAGGCTCAGACGTGCACAGCCAGATGACCTGACACTTTATATCTATTGTGCATCAGGAATGGTGTTTGTTTCAACTCAATGACGTGACATTTTTATTTTTCATCCTCTCAATAAACCCAGTAGAAACCTGGAATTGCATGCTGCCACAAGGTGGCAGCATCACGCCAGATGTGAGAACAACATAACAGTGCATGTGTGTGAACACCTGTTTTCAGGTAGAGATACCACGTTTGGTGTTTTTTTTCTATACCTTGCTCCTGTTTGTCTTGTGAGGCCGCCTGAAGCGCAGCAGCTCTTTATGTTGTCTCGACACAAAGTTGACAGCAGCGTACTCCAAAAGTGCAGAGAAGACAAACAGGAGACACACTGCCATCCAGATGTCTATAGCCTTCACATACGAGACCTGCAACACATATACACACATTAAATATGTTACACACACACACACTGTTGTTTGTGGTGTATGAAATTATTTTCTATTCAGACATGTGTTACATACTGGAGTGCAAAGTTCTGTTAAGCGCTGACAACATGAGAAACCTCTTAGCATCTAAACACACACACACACACACACACACACACACACACACACACACACACACACACACACACACACACACACACACACACACACACACACACACACACACACACACACACACACACACACACACACACACACACACACACACACACACACACACACACACACACACACATTTTTATATATGTTGCACCAAAGGCCTGGGAGTTCTACCCTTTGACCCAGATGGACACAATGATGTCCTTGGGTACGACAGGAACTGTCTTTTCATGGCGTAGATTCATCAAAATGTAAAAACAATGCTAGAAATGCTAAACAGCCCACAGCTAATTGACACTATACATTCTGTTTACTTCAAACAACGCAGGATGTGCACACTGCTGGCATGTTATATTTTTATTACAGAACATACAGCAAAGAATACACTTTTTCACAATTGCCTTCTCACTTCTTTCAATACTGAATTCCCTTTTTTCAAAACTCCTCACACGCTAAACCAGTGCTTCTCAAACTTTCTTCAGTGATGTACCCCCTTTGACACATTTTCTCAGCCAAGTAACCCCTGACCGACCCCGAACATTTATGATAAAAAAAGCCTATATAAATAATTACAATATAGTGATGTTCCATCAGTGTGTGATTTATTAACTCCTTCATGCATGAATTACAACAAACTAAGGATATTTTCACCTTTATGCATTTTTTTAAAACAGATTTTTAAGTAATATATGTTTAACAAACCAATGAACAAAATGATATATTATGCAAAAACTATAAAGAACAAGAAAACAGCATTTAATTAGCAGTCTCTAATGTAGTGACCACAATGCATGAAAGGGTTAAAAAAACAACGTTGTAACTGAAAAAAATGTGTAATTCTAAACAAACTATGTAATAACACTGCACTGACACTATTTAGGAGTAACAGGTCCTCAGCGATCGTGTACGGCTGTTTGGCTTTAGCGATGAGCAGTGACACCGCGATGCCTCCAGTGATTTGGCTGATGTTGTGGAGGCTTTTTGCATCATCTCTTGCGAGGATCTGTACTCAGCAAGTTTTCTCTTGAAAAACTCCAGTGGCTTACCAACGTGACACAGGTGTTTGGTGCTGAGATGTCTCTGGAGGTGCACTGGTTTCGTTGGCTAGTTTCTCCCCACAGAAAAAACCCAATGCCTGGGGCGGGTTGCCGTTTGTTGAGGTGAATCCCATCAAAGCATACGCCTCCTGATATTGACGGCATTTTGTTGGCTCAATTTTGTCTTTCTTTTTTTCTCCGTTGTCCACGTTCCCTGCTGTAGTGCTGCTACGTTCTAACCACGATTCCATTTCAATTTCAGTCTATTTGTTATAATCTAATATTGCATCTGGCTTCCCGCTCAGCGTGGTTCCGGGCTAGAGCCTGATTTAGCTCTGGTTCTTCCTGTTTCCACAGCAGCGGAGCAGGCTCTCAGTACCGAAACCCGGTGCTTAACTGGCCCCGCTCGGCTGCCCGGCAAGAACCAATACTTCACGCTTACGTCGGAGGGGGGCGAGATTAACCTGAGCAATAACAGTTAATGGCGAGTACGGCAAATATACAAGTTGTAACAACAAGCAGTAGCGCTGAGCAAAGTGACTAGAACGTGACCACACACTTTTAAAAACAGAGAAGAACCAGTTAAGCACCAGAAAAGCACAAGAACGGATCTTGAACCCTTGGTGGTTCTCGGAATATTTCATATAAAATTGGGTTTTCTAATTGTACTATGATTATTTTTGTAATCATGCATGGTATTTGTTTTATTAACCTTTTTTTTTTAATCTCACGTACCCCCTGCAGTACCCCGACGTACCCCCAGGGGTCCGCGTACCCCCATTTGAGAATCACTGCGCTAAACAATAGGAGTATATCTGGACTAAACTGTGGATTACATTTTGCTTTGACACAAAATAAATTAAATAGCAAATCTTTCAAAATGCATGAACTGTGTATCTTTAAACACTATGATACTGAAGGCACAACTATTACTTTCAATGTATGTGAAAAACCTAGAATAACCATGTAACACTGAATAATTCCCCTATTCCTTGATCGCTTGAATGAAAGACTTGCTGGTGATGAAAGTGGGAACGTGAGGCAGGTCCAGAAGGTTTTATGTGTGTGGGGTGGGAGAAGTACTCAGATCTTGTACTTGAGTAACAGTAGAAGTACTCAGATCTTGTACTTGAGTAACAGTAGAAGTACTCAGATCTTGTACTTGAGTAACAGTAGAAGTACTCAGATCTTGTACTTGAGTAACAGTAGAAGTACTCAGATCTTGTACTTGAGTAACAGTAGAAGTACTCAGATCTTGTACTTAAGTAAAAGTAGAAGTACTCAGATCTTGTACTTGAGTAACAGTAGAAGTACTCAGATCTTGTACTTGAGTAACAGTAGAAGTACTCAGATCTTGTACTTGAGTAAAAGTAGAAGTACTCAGATCTTGTACCTGAGTAAAAGTAGAAGTACCAGAGTGTATGAATACTCTGTTACTCAAGTAAAAGTAGAAAAGTAATAGCATCAAAATATAGTTAAAGTACCAAAAGTAAAAGTAGTCATTGTGCAGAATGGTCCATTTCAGAATAATATATATGATATGTTTTATAATGATTGATCATGAAAGTGTTCTCAAAGCTGGTAAAGGTGCAGCTAGTTTGAATGACTTTGTATACTGCAGGGTAGCTTGTGGATTTACTCCAGGTGGAACTAAAGTCTGATTTAACACTTGATTATATTTCACATCATTCATCCACATCTGTGAAGTAACTAAAGGTATTAAATACATGTAGTGGAGGAAAAGTACACCATTTACCTATGAACTGTAGTTGGGTAGAAGTAAGAAGTAGCATAAAATATAAATATAAATATAATAACTTTATTTACACAGCACCTTTCAAAACAACGTTAAACAAAGTGCTTTACATGGATTAAGAACCGATTCTGCCAACCTCAGATTCTCGGGCAGGGAATTCCAGAGCTGCGGAGCTCTGACGGAGAAAGCTCGGTCACCCTTTGTTTTTAGCCTGGTTTTGGGAACAGCTAGCAGAGCCCTTCCCGAGGTCAGTGATGTAATCCCTTAAGAGCTTTAAAAGTAATCAGTAAAATCTTCAAATTAATTCGAAAACAGACAGGTAGCCGGTGAACATAGATTAAACAGGGGTGATGAGCAAGCGTCTTTGAGTTCAAGAAAAGCGCTATATAAATATAATTTATTATTATTATTAAGGACTTGATTTTTGAAATGATACGTAACGGTGGGTTACATATTGTAACCCTAGTTCTATAAGCACATATACTGGACTCTATGGGTACTACTCTCATCAATGATACGCGAGCGTTCACACACTGAAGTTGTATAAACGTAGCCGGCCAATCAGGGCGAGCCTACCTGAATGCGCGCGCAGGCTCACAGTATATAAGGCGGCTACGCCTCCCGACCGTCATCCTACACCCTCTTCAGCGAGCGGCATAGGAAAGACAGGGCCCCTAGGTAGAGGGCTCCGCCTGTGCTTATAGAACTAGGGTTACAATATACGTATTATTATTATACGACCCACTGTTCTATCTCACACAGGCTCCGCCCTCTACTGGACTCTATGGGTACAGTGGGTGGAGCCCCGATGGATAAACGCCCTGTCGTCCTACAACATCGACCCACCAAACTGCCCCTGGTCCCTGCACCCGCATGGGTGCTCTAAACCGGCGCCTTTCCCTCCTTCTCACCATAGCGCAGCGCTCTCCCCTTTGAGGAAGAGCCAGAGGCAAGATACGGCTGAGCTGCAACTTTTCTTCCTCCAAGCGTCTGAAACGCTGTGTGACCGATGAGATCGATCCAAAGAGCCCTTCCGTGGATACGGGGGCCCCAAGGAGATCATCACGATAATTCCTGGAGAGAGCCGTGAGTCCCAACCAGACGTGGCGTGATCCCACTGTGGCCAGGGACATTACACGGCCAGCTGCGGCGGCCACACCATGAATCATGAGGCGGGGGCATCCTGCTGAGGAGTAATCAGCGACACGCCCAACACACCCAGATTATTCGCTGCTGCCGCCATCTGTGCTCCGAGCCGGAATATTTTATCGAAATATTCCAGCGTCTCTCGGTCACGAGGCAGCGGCTTTTTATCCTCCGCCCATCCTGCTGCCTGTGGGAGCAGATGGGCTGCCAGGCTCTCATCAAGGGGGGACACGCCGGGACACGCTGTGTCCGTGCGGCCCTGCACCCTGAGGATCCCCACCATACCAGCCACTGGAGCCTTCGTCTTCAGTGGCTGTCGCCACAACGCCTCCACACACTGCCAGATATCTAGCAACGGAGGCGGCTCACCGGTTTCGGCGGCAGTGGTGGGGGGAGCGGTAGCCCTACACGCTCCGCCGACATGGTCATCACCAGGGGGCAGTCCTGGCGGACAGACCTGACGGTGGACTTTCATGGACGCCGGACCCGGAAATGCCCGACAACGAGGAGGCCTCGCCATCCTCCTCCCCGGCAAACGGAGCCATCCGCCCCGCTGGAATGGCAAACGTGAATGGCGAACGTTGAATGGCACCGCCTTGGCCATATCCTGGTCCCCAAACACTCGAAGCAGAGGTGGTGGGGATCGGCGCCCGCTATTAAGCCAGGGCACGAAGGACAGGCCCGGGTCTCTAGAAGTGGCGACTCCATGAAGGTACGATAACTTCTTTCTTCTTCTTTCAAACGTTTTACTCTTCTCTGTCAGGTGTTGTCCTGCTCGCTGAAGAGAAAGGGATGACAGTCAGGAGGCGTAGCCGCCTTATATACTGTGGGCCTGCGCGCGTATTCAGGTAGGCTCGCCCTGATTGGCCAGCTACGTTTAT